CGCGCGCCCCCGGGGACCCCCGCGCACGCCCCCCCGCCCCAATAGCCGTGCGCCCAGCGCGCGTGCGCGCCTCGAGGGCGGGGCCGGAGCGGGCAGCCCGGTGGCGACGTCTGGCGGAGCGCGCATCTTCGCCTCCCGCCCGCCGGCCCGGGGCGAGCAGCAGCCGAGCGCGGCTGGAAGCCCTCCTCCTCCTCCTCCGCCGCCGCCGCCGCCCTCTCGGCCCGCTCGGCCTAGCCGGGCAGCCGCATCGCCTTCCCCTTCCGCGCTCCTCCCTCCTCCATCGCGGCGAGGCGGTTCCGCTCGCGCCGGCGCCCCTGCCCGGCGCCCCGTTATCTCCCCGCGGCGCGTTTCCCGGGCAGCGCCCCACGTTCGCCCCTCGCCCGCCCGCCGCCGGGCCGCCGCGCTTTCCGCCCCCGCTCCCTGCGATGCGGCGGAAGGGCCGGGAGGGCTGCGCCCCGGGCGGCGGCAGAGAGGATCGCGGGGCCGGGGAGGGGCGCGGGCCGCCCCCTCCCCCGCTGCGGAGCCCCTTCGTGCACCAGCTGCGCTTCAGCGCCCTGCAGAAAGCCAAGGTGGGTGTGCGCGTGCCCGCGTGCGTGCCCGGGTGCAGCGGCTCCCCCCGCGCGCCCCCAGAAACGCGCCCCGGAGCTTCCCCGGCCGCCGGCGCCCCGAGGCGCGCCCCCACGTGCGCGCGCCCGCGCCGGGTCCCTCGGTGACCTCCGGGGCAGGCGCGCCGAGCGCCCCCTTCCCGCGCCAGGCAGCGGGGCAGGTGCGCGCGGTCCCTCCGGCCCCCCGCCCCGACCGCGGCCGAGGGATGCGGGAACCATCCCGGGCCTGCCCTCCTCTCGCCGCCCCCTTCCCGCGCCCAGAAATTCCTCCTGACGCAACAGGTACCGACACAGGTAACCGGGGCCTCCGGTTCTGGGCTGGCCTCCCTGGGGAAGCCCCAGAGTTCCCCCTGCCCCATCATTCCCAAGCGAAGGGCAGCAGCAACAGCGCTCTTCTGGGCGGACGGCTTGAGACACACCAGCCACTCTGCCTGTCTTGCTCCGGCGCAACAAAGTTGACACGTTGCCCTGATACAATTTGTTGGTTCACCTTGGCCCTGCCCTGGCTGGAATACCTCCCATCTCTGGAGCAGTTGCCCCCAAGATCTTTGCGTTGGGTGGCTTCCAAGCGGAGAAGATGCTGCTGTTTCCATCATCCTGGAAAACAGGATGGCGGAAACTTGATGCTCACCAGTGTTGCTCCAAAGCAAGGCCCGTTGATTCCCAGTGCGACAGTCTGATTGATCGGCCACCCAGTGCAATGGCTTCTGATGGGGACTGGAGAAAGTCCTGGCGGAGAAGGCCCTGCCCTGCCACCAGCCATGCTGGCTGCCTGCTCCCTCCATTATCAGAGGTGATGCGTCTGTGTGCACCAGTTGTGGAGGCGCTTGGTCTGGGGGAACTCTTGAACCCGTCGTGTATGGCGGTCCTGAGTGGAGAGCTGGTTTGCCGCTGGATGGAGTCCTGGACTAGGTGAACCAGCATGGCATTCCTTGTGTTCTTGTCCATGCGCTGTAGAATCTGGACCCAAACAGGCCTAGGCACAACCATATGCATGCTAGACAGGTTTGGATGTGCAGCCCTGAACACGCAGGGCACTATGGTGTTCCCTATAAATCTCCTCTAATTTATACAGGAATTGTCTCAGATTACCTTCTCATTTGGGTCTTGTTCTCCCATATCTGTGTGTTCAGCCCTAGCCATGTTATAATTCGAGTAATGATCTTGCACTGCTGAAGTCGAGGGACACGTGGTTTGATCAATATACCCTACTTTGCTGCGAATGCTGCATCTGACCCTTTCCAGGTACCTTTTAGGGTTGTAGGGTAGCTGGGACTGGGCATTGGACCCAAGAGACTATAATATCAGATTCTACTGGATTTGCATGACACCAAAATGCCGTCATTGGCAAAGCTGTCCCAATGAAGATAATACGCAAACTTATTTTTTACACTTCCTCAGAGTACTGTTGTAAGAGTGCTCTCCATTGCAAGGCTTCTAAAGAGCATGCCAGTGTTGCGGTTTTGTCACTGCTTGTGGATTCCCTTTTCTTGCAAGCCGTGTTGGCTATTGGATTGATACAAACCCACATGGGAAGTGAAAAGATTTGCAGTGGGTGCAGTCCATAAAGGGGAAATCTATCAACTAGGACTTCATCGGGTGCGATCTCCCACTCTTGCAGTTTAATTCTGAAAACTGATGATGTGGAAACACTCCGTGTGGCCCTTGCGCACCTCCATCTTCTGGCATTTATACTGTTCTGACCAGAGGATGCCCTTTGACATTAGGCAGCATTTTGCCTCTGGCAGCTTCCATAACCATATCTAATCATCTTCTCAAGCCATAAATTGCAAATTAGTTTTACAATTCTGTGTAGTGTGCCTTGTAAAAGCAACTTCCTTGTTTAGCTAGCTTTCACTTTCTCTAAGCGTTTCTTCATTCTCTAAGCATTGGGGAAGCTTAAACAGCCAGCTAGGTGCGCTGTCTTTGGCCACATTTCTAATTTCTAAACTGAGCTGCTTTAAACCTTAAAAAAAAAAGCTGGGTGGACAATATAAAACATTAATCCTCTGGGTGCCCTGGTCTAGTTCTGCTGAGCAGCACCCAGAATTGCATATGGAAGCTGAAGGCTTAGATACCCCAACCTTTTATTTATATTTTATTTTATTTGTTAAGTTTGTTTAAAGAACACCCATTTGCATCTCACGCAGACCTTTATCCCAGCCGCTGCTGCGTTCTCATCGGCCCCTCTTCCTGCAGTAAACATGTGACCCGCTTCTCAGTGCTATAAGGGGAAAGGGAGAAACCACACGTTAAGTCTCAGCAAACATGAGTGAAAACGTACTATCTAGAGAGCTTGCAGGACAGGAGGTTGTGTGGGAACCACAAATGTTTCTTGCTACCATGCTGGGTCAAGACATGTGGACTCTTGTGAATGCCCTGCGAATTCTGGTAGTATCACTACATCATCCATGTATGGACCCTGCTTGCCCATGACATTAATCCATAAGTTAGTGCTGCATGTAAGAGCCTCGCATAACTTCAGATTCATTAGCTTCTCTCCTGCACAACTGGCAAACGTTTCACTTTTACTAACCGAGTTTGTTTTAAACCATGGTCTCTGACTCAAACATAATGCTAAGCTAGGATTCTGTAAAAGTGAATGAAATGCTGCGTAATTCCTCATCTTTGACATGTAAGGAGGGAAGGGGAACTCCTAAAATTGAGGCATTAGTTGCTCTCCCTCTGGCTTGTGCTCATAGTACTAAACCGGGTGTTGAGAATGAGAAGGTTGGCCTTCCAATAAACCTCTCTGTGCATGCTCAGAGATTTGTTCCGGGTGATTTGTACTTGGGAAGAATAGAGAATGTTTTGCAGTGGAAATGCTCTGTGGCTTTTGACTGCTCGAGGGAAGGACCTCAGCTCCCAAGAGCTTGAGCCCAATGTCATGTTTACCTCCAGGAACTCTCCTTAGGAACATGCCTGGGCCCATCCCGCCAGGAGGGGCTTTCTGACGACAACCATGCCTCCTCTCCGTGTCCTGCTAATTCAGTTGGGCCTCCCACCTCTGCTGATGCCTCACCATGGCGGCCAGAGCAGGGAAGGCCTGGTCTGTGTCCGAGGTTTCCTCGTTCCCAGAGGCCCCTCCCACTGCCTGCTGGCTTGGCAAGCACCTGTCCTTGAGATAATCACCTCTACCTCCTTCATCTCAGAAACTTGACCTGGCCTAGCCTCCCCAATTTCACCGTAATTTGTTTCACATTCCAATTCCAAATCATCCAAGATGCAGCCAGCGGTCTGTGAGAGCAGCTGCCCAAACTGGCCAACCTTCTCACTCCCAACACCATGTGGAGAGGAATGCAAATTCCAAGAGCTGTGACCAGCAAGGCCGATGGCGAAGGATGGTTTGAGCTGCAGGCCAACATGGTCTGGGGGATCACGAGTCCCATCCCTTTGCTAAGCCAGGATTGGGTGTTACATGTGAACGAAGCACAGTGTTGGAGCTGGAGAAGCGGAAGCCTCATTCCACCCCGGACCAGGGCTTCCCTGCATTTACGCTCCAGTGGCCAGCTTCACACTCCTTAAAATAATATCCTTGCAAACCGGTGTACCATCCACAACATAATATGCAAGTGGGATGGGCAAACTAGTCCTAATTTCCAGTTAATGTTGAATAATATAGCAGCTATAATAGACAGTTGTCAACGCTTGGCTATGCTTACAGTAATGTTTATTTTTCAAAACTGATCTCTGTCTGAGGGGATTTCTGGTTCATAGAACAAGCATTTTCCAAGTATCTTAAATCAAGTTTCTCACTGCAGTTTCTAAACTTTTATTTATTTATTGCTTTTATATACCATTCAAGAGCCATACACGGCTCCCAGAACAGTTTACAAAAAAAGATAAATTAGTATTATGCATTCTAATCAGTTAATATATCCACTAAAACACGTTAATGTACAACAAAACAAGGTATTTTCCGCTTTGTCTTATTTTTATGTAGGTCGAGAAGACGTTATATGGTACACTGCTTATTTAATGGATAACTTGCCTGTCCTGAAGTCGAACGAAGTACCTTTCTTCTCAGTGGTGCGACTTTCTGTTACCCTTTGGGTCGTTTTCTTGCCTTCATTTTTTGCCTCGGCTCCATCCCATTCCAGCCCTGGAAACGTAAAACAGTTAAACGGTCCTCAGCATTAGCTCATTGCAGCTGTCTCTGGTTAGGCTTTCCAGGAGCAGCTCATTGGCCAAACTAGTTGCGTCATTTTTATATCCAAGTGGCAGACCATGAGATACGGACTTAATATGAGTACGTGACCACCCAAATGGAGACGGGATACTTGTCCTCCTGACCAGCAAAAAGGCATCTCACAGACTACCTTCTAGTCTCTGGCCTGTGCGATGAACACAACATTAACAACGTGGCAAACGACCCACAGTGCATTCAGCGTCAGAGTGCAAACCTCAGAAAGATTTGTTTCCCGTGGTCCTGTAGTTACATAAAATGCATCTTTTAACTCTCTTTAAACAAGCTACCTTTAAAAAGAAAAGTTTCTGAAATAGACACATCTTGGCATTTTTCTTTCCTTTTCCTATACCTTCACTTTATTTTTTCCCCTTTCCTAGCACTTCCTATAACCCCAGGCACAGGGGAAGCTGACAGTACTCTTCCGGATCTCCTGCACTGGAGAGTCCTTTTCTTGCTTTGATAACTCTTCAGAAGTATTTATTCTAAACTTGTAGTTTCCTCTTATTTAAAAATAAGCCTAAAAAGCTATCATTTGACCCCTGGACAGCACCTATTTCAGCTTCCATATCCAAGGATGGAAAAGAGCTCCTACAAAGCTGGGAATTTAGGCTTCCAGCCACCGTGGATGGAACTGGGCAGGCCACTTCTCCGAAGGAGATCAGGAATGTGTGAAGAGGGAATTCTGGTGTGAGGGGAGGAGACTGGGCTACCAGGGTACAATGTAGCCTGGTCATGCTTTACCTTCCTCGTCTGGAGCTGGATGGATGAAATCAGG